ATTCTGAGTTCTAACTTGATTGCACTGTGGTCTGAGAGACTGTTTGTTATGATTTCCGTTCTTTTGCATTTGCTGAGGAGTGATTTACTCCCAGTTATGTGGTCAATTTTAGAGTAGGTGTGGTGTGGTGCTGAGAAGAATGTATATTCTGTGGATTTGGGGTGGAGAGTTCTGTAAATGTCTATTAGGTTTGCTTGTTCCAGGTCTGAGTTCGAGTCCTGGATATCCTTGTTAATTTTCTGTCTGGTTGATCTCTGTAATATTGACAATGGGATGTTAAAGTCTCCCCCTATAATTGTGTGGGAGTCCAAGTGTCTTTGTAAGTCATTAAGAACTTGCCTTATGTATCTGGGTGCTCCTGTATTGGGTGTGTATGTATTTAGGATCGTTAGCTCTTCTTGTTGTATTGATCCTTTTACCATTATGTAATGTCCTTCTTTGTCTCTTTTGATCTTTGTTGCTTTAAAGTCTAATTTATCAGAGATGAGAATTGCAACTCCTGCTTTTTTTTGCTCTCCATTTGCTTGGTAAATCTTCCTCCATCCCTTTATTTTGAGCCTTTGTGTATCATTGCATGTGAGATGGGTTTCCTGGATACAGCACAGCAATGGGTTTTGTCTTTTTATCCAATTTGCCAGTCTGTGTCTTTTGATTGGGGCATTTAGTCCATTTACATTTAGGGTTAATATTGTTATGTGTGAATTTGATACTGCCATTTTGGTGCTAGCTGGGTGTTTTGCCCTTTAGTTGAGCTGGTACTTGTTGTTCCTTTATATGTGTAGAGCCTCTTTCAGGAGCTCTTGTAGAGCTGGCCTGGTGGTGACGAAATCTCTGAGTACTTGCATGTTCACAAAGGATTTTATTTTTCCTTCACTTATGAAGCTTAGTTTGGCTGGATAGGAGATTCTGGGTTGAAAGTTCTTTTCTTTAAGGATGTTGAATATTGGCCCCCACTCTCTTCTGGCTTGTAGGGTTTCTGCTGAGAGATCTGCTGTGAGTCTGATGGGCTTCCCTTTGTGGGTAACCAAAGCTTTCTCTCTGGCTGCCCATAGTATTTTCTCCTTCATTTCAACCCTGGTGAATCTGACGATTACGTGCCTTGGGGTTGCTCTTCTTGACGAATATCTTTGTGGTATTCTCTGTATTTCCTGGACTTGAATATTTGCCTGCCTTGCGAGGTTGGGGAAGTTTTCCTGGATAATATCCTGAAGAGTATTTTCCAGCTTGGATTCATTCTCTTCGTCGCATTCAGATACACCTGTCAAACGTAGATTAGGTCTTTTCACATAGTCCCACATTTCTTGGAGACTTTGTTCATTCCTTTTTACCCTTTTTTCTCCATTCTTGCCTTCCCGTTTTATTTCATTGAGTTGATCTTCGACCTCTGACATCCTTTCTTCTGCTTGGTCAATTCGGCTGTTGATACTTGTGCATGTTTCACGAAGTTCTCGTGTTGTGTTTTTCATCTCCATCAATTCACTTATATTCCTTTCTATTTTGTCCATTCTCGTTAGCATTTCGTCAAATCTTTTTTCAAGGTTCTTAGTTTCTTTGCATTGGGTTAGAACATGTTCTTTTAGTGCACAGAAGTTTCTTACTACCCACCTTCTCAAGTCTGATTCTGTCATTTCATCACACTCGTTCTCCATCCAACCTTGTTCCCTTGCTGGTGAGGAACTGTGATCCCTTGTAGGTGAGGAGTTGTGATCCCTTGCAGGAGGAAAGGTGTTCTGGTTTTGGGTGTTTTCATCCTTTTTGCGCTGGTTTCTTCCCATCTTTATGGATTTGTCCGCCTGTAGTCTTTGTAGTTGCTGGCTTTCAGATTGGGTCTCTGAGTGGATGTTCTGTTTGCAGATGATGAGGTTATTTCTGTTTCTTAGTTTTCCTTCTGACAGTCTGGCCCCTCTGCTGTAGGTCTGCTGAGGGCCACTCCAGGCCCTGCTTGCCTGAGGATCACCTGCAGCCGCCTCTGCACTTTCACTGGGAGCTGCAATCCTGAGCTGTTCCTAAACGGCCATCTTGGATCCCGCCTCCTTGTGTTTTTTTTTTCTAATGTGCCATTTTAATTCGTTTTGCATTTCTCTGTATTTATTATTTACTTAGTGGTTATACTTGGAATTACAATTAACATCTTGAATTTACAACAATCTAGCTTCCACTAATACCAACTCAGCCTTAATAGTATATAAAAATTTTGCTCCTATACAGCTTTGTCGGCATCCTTTGTCTTGTTATTGTTACAGATTATACCTTGATAAATTGTGTGCACATTACCATCCAGATTTGTAATTATTGTTTTATGTGTTTGTCTTTTAAATCATATAGAAAAAAGAGAGAACATAAAAGCCAAGAATACAATAAGACTAGCTTTTGTATTTACTTATAGTAGTTACTTTTACCATTTGAATTTTTTTTGTGTTTGGATTGGAGTTACTGTCTAGCGTCCTTTTGTTTCAACTAAAATGACTTATTTTGCATTTCTTGTAGGACAGGTCTAGTACTGATAAATTCTCTCAGATTCTGTTGATCTAGAAATGTTTTAATTTCTCCTTCATTTTTGAAAACTAGTTTTACCAAATGTAGAATTCTTGATTTTTTTTTTCTTTTGGCACTATAAAGGTGCCAATATCCTACTGCCTCTGGCCTTCATGGTTTCTAATTAGAGATTCACTGTTAATCTTATTTCAGATTCTTTCTACATGGTTAGTCCCTTATCTCTTCGTATTTTCTTTTTTTTTTTTTTTTTTTTTGGAGATAGAGTCTTGCCCTGTTGTCCAGGCTGGAGTGTAATGGCGCAGTCTTGGCTTACTGTAACCTCTCCCTCCTGGGTTCAAGTCATTCTTCTGCCTCAGCCTCCTGAGTAACTGGGATTACAGGTATCTGCCACCACACCTGGCCTAATTTTCTTATCTTTAGTAGAGATGGAGTTTCGCCATGTTGGCCAGGCTGGTCTTGAACTCTTAACCTCATGATCTGCTCGCCTCGGCCTCCCAAAGTGCTCAGATTACAGGCATGAGCCACCATGCCTGGCTGATGTAAATTCTTTATCTAGTAAGATTAATATCAAAGGTGTTTTTGGGGACAGGTTTTATTCAGTTCTTTTTTGTGTGTCTGTGGGTCATACTATCTTCTTTGCATTCCTCATCTTTTACTGTAAACTGAACATTTTGAATATTAAAATGTGCTAAATCTAGAAATCAGATTCTTCCTTTTCCCCAGAGTTTGTTGTTACTGTTTATTTTGTATTCTGTGACTTTTCTAAACTATTTTTGTAAAGTCAGTGTTGTTTATTGTACATGGTCATTGAAATCTCTGTTGTGTTAGTTTAGTGGTCAGTTTCTGATTTGACTGAGATTTCTTTAAATGCCCAGAGTCAAAACAAAACAAAAAACTCTTCTGGTGTTTGCATATCAACTCGTTTTAGGGCACTCCTGTAATGGTTTGCCAGGCCATTTACATCTCTGCCTTATCTTTACTTCCTACTTACACAGAGCCTGAAAGTCAACCAGATGTGAAAGCTTAGGTTCCTCTCAGGTTTTTTTCTGAGCATGCATACTGCCCTGGCCTTGCACATGATCCCAATTTCCTGGTTTTTGCAGAAGCTTTTCAAACCCCTTATTCCTACCCATGGCCCACATGTATTTGCTTCCCAGTTTTAGCAGTCCATCTGCTGCTTTTCTCATCTGGCTGCTATGGCCTGATAATTGGCTTTAAATGTTTTCAACAAGCACTTCCTGTAAGACTACTCTAACCCTGAGAAAGTTCCAAGGCAGGGAAAACAAAGACAAGCCTGTGAGCCACTTCTTCAGAGAGCCTGCACAGACAGATCAAAATACACAACCACAGTTCTCTGAAAACAAGGTGCATACTGTCCACTTTGGCACAGGCACCAGCAAGCCGTATCAGGAATGTTCTGGGTGTACTAGTTTTTTAATTAGATTTTAGAATTCGGAAAAGTTTGATTCTGAGAGGGTTCCCCCACCCCCCAGCTTAATTGTTGCTTTAGTGTGGGATGGAGTTTTGGAGTTACGTATTCCATTTTCAGCCTGATTCCCACATCAGTTTTTGAGTAATTACTTTGTGGCACAACAGATGTGCCTGGCCCATTTTGTCCTTTTCCTGTACTACCTCTGCCATCAGCCATTTCTCCAAAGGACACTGTTTTTTTTTAGTGGAGGATAGAATTTAAAAACGAAGATCTGGGTGCTCATTGGTAAAGGTTGTCACTGCCTCAGACCTTCTCAATTGACAAGAGTTAGAAAATATATGTATGAGTATATACACACACACACAAATACACGTGTACATCTATTTTTGTATTGTCTGTCTATATGTAGTTTTTAAACAATGAGTTTACATAGACATTTCCCAATTTCAATCTTAACTCCATAGCCTTTCTGTTTTCTGTTTCTGTTATCCACAATATTTATTTGCTCCTTCTCCCTGTCACTTTCCAATCTCTCAAACCTGCCAGTGCTACCTGTCTCCTCAGCTCTGGGTTGATCCCTTAGATCACCATCTTCCTGGAATTATCAATACTTGCTATATTAAATATTCAAATCAGATTTGATGTATTTAAACATTTTAGAAATTAAAAGGGGCCATTTGACTAAGTCATTTTAGTTTTGGAGAATCATCATTATTTTATGTAAACTTATCAAAAATAAAATTTCTGATTATTGGGAGCACAGTATCTAAACTTGTCTCTCCAGGTTGTCAGGCCACTACTTTGTCCATTAAGTTATAAGGACACTTCCCATTCATGAGGGCAGAGCTTCCTAATCACCTCCTAAAGGCCATGCCTCTTCATACTATTGCAGTGGTATTAAATTTCAACCTATGGAGTTGCAAAAGGTACAAACATTCACACCATAGCACTAAGTATTTTATTCTACCAGGTACTATTGTAAATGAAATTGTTTTCTGAATTTCCTTTGGATTGTTCATTGTTGGAGTGTTTTTTTAAGAGACCTAATAGTTGTGTGTTGATTTTGTCCTCTGCAACTTTGCTGAAACCATTTATTAGCTCATATATATTTTGTGGATTTGATAAATAATGTTATCTGCAAATAGAATAGTTTTACTTCTGCCTTTCAATTTGAATGTCTTTTATTTCTTTTTCTTGCCTATTTGCTATAGCTATAGCTTCTAATATAGTGTTGAATTGCAGTGGTAAAAGCACTATCCTTTGCCTGTTCATGATCTTCTTGGGGAGTGGGGAGATCTTTTAGTCTTTCACTATGGAGTATGTTCCCTGTGAGTTTTTCATATGTGCACTTTATTATGTTGAAGAACTTTGCTTCCGTTCCTTTGTTTTCTGAGTTTGGTTATCCTCAAATGGTACTGGATTTTGTACTTTTTTCTGCATCAATTGATATGATCACATGTTTATTCATTTGTTTTATTAATGTGTTGTCTTACACTGATTAATGTTCTTATATCGAACCACTCTTGCATTCCTAGGATAGATCCAACTTGGTCATAGTATGTAATATTTTTAATATGCTGCCAAATTTGGTTTTGCTAGTATTTTATTGAGAATTTTTTGCATCTGTATTCATAAGGAATATTAGTCTGTAATTTTATTTTCCTGTGAAGTCTTTATCTGGCTTTGGTATCAAGGTAATGCTGGCTGGCACTGTAAAACTCAGAGGAATGAGTTAGGAAGTATACCCTTCTAATTTTGGAAATGTTTGAGGAAGATTAGTATTACTTCTTTAATTTGATAGAATTAAGCGGCGAAGTCATCTTGCCCTGGATTTTTTTTTTATTTAGGCAGTTTTTAAAAAAAATTACTGATTGAATCTCTTTAGTGGTTATAAGTATGTTGAGATTTTATATTTCTTCTTGAGTCAGTTTCAGTAATGTGTGTCCTTCTAGGAAATGTGTCTATTTAATTGAGTTACTTAACTTATTAGTGTATAGTTGTTCATAGTATTCTCTTATATTCCTTTTTTCTTTTTGTAATGTCACTTTAATTTCTGATTTTAGTTCTTTGCATCTTTTTTCTTTAGTCAATCTAGATGAAAGCTTATGAATTTTGTTCTATTTAAGAATCCGTTTTTAGATTTATTGATTCTCTGTAGCTTTCTATTCTCTGTTCGCTTACCTTTGCTCTAATATGTATTATATCTTTTTTTCTGCTAGCTATGGATTTAGTTTGATCCTTCTTTGCTAGCTGCTGAAGGTATAAAGTTATTGCTTTCTTTTTGAAAATAGGCATTTATTGCTACAAATCTCTCGATAGGCATGCTCTTGGTTGCATCCCATAAGTTGTGACATAGACTCTTTACCTTTTCACCCATTTTTAAGTATTTTTAAGTTTCCTTTGTGGTTTCTTCTTTGATCCATTAAACGTTGTTTAATATCCATGTTAATAAACTTTTTCACTGTTACTCATTTTGAGCTTTATCCTATTATGGTCAGAAAAGATATTTTTAATGATTTCAGTCTTTTAAATTTACTGAGATTTATTTTGTGCCCTAATCTATGGGCTTCCCTGTAGAATGTTTTTTGTACACTTGAGAAGAATGACTATTCTACTATTGGTAGGTAGAGCATTCCACATACTTCTCTTAGGCCTATTTGGTTTATACCATTATTCAATTACTCTGTTTTCCTATGAATCTTTTGTCTGGATATTCTGTCCATTAATGAAAGCAGAGTAATGAAGCGTCCAGCTATTATTACAGAACTCTGTATTTCTTCATTTAAATCTGTGAATTCCTGAAATTAGAACACTGATTTCTCTTTCATTAAGTAGTTCCCTTAAGACAAACTATGTTCTCTTATAGAGGATTGATGTTTTGGGAGTTATATTTCTTGGTTGGCTTTACTTTGAATGTAACTGTCCATATGGTCTATGTATAGAACTGGTTAAAAAAAAGTCCCTCACTTTCCAGAGGTGGCTGCTTATTAGTTTCCATCTTCATGAACTGTGAGGTGTCTAAAGAGTAAGGCCCACCAAGGTGCCCTGGAAGTTAGGTACTTTGTCAGTCATTGATCCTCCTACCTTGCCTAACCCCTAACCCTGGTTCAAGGTTTAGAGCTGCACTGTCTCTGGCTATGGTTGGAAGCCACCACTCCTGCACCTTCTATACTTGTATAAGTGACAGGAACCCTGCCTCTAGTTTCTCATATCTGATACTATCTACTGATATCTTCCAGAAATTATATAATTGTCTTTTTTGGTATATATTATTTGCACATTTATTGTTTATGTTCCTTCCACTCATATTTTTGCAGGCATCAGAGGTAGATATGTGTTTGAGGTTCACCATCTTTAAATGGAAGTGTCAGTTATTTTTGAAACTGTGTTCTCTCTTATTTTCTATTACTCTGGAATGTCTCCTGGTGCCATTCTCACATTTTTGTAAATTCCTTTTCAGCCTTTATGGCCTATGTTTCTTTTTCTTGCCAGCCACTTATATATTTGTATTCCCTTAAATTCTGTGTTGGTAATTTTTTTCCTCCATCTTTGTCTCCTTTGTGAATATCTGATCACTGGTGGCCCCTGTGACACAGAGTTGCCATTTTCACCCATATCCTTATTTCCATGCTGGATCTCTTTCCTGAGCTTCAGAATAATCTCTGTAGCCTTCTACTGGACATGCTCACTTCCATGACATGAAGCCATTCCTAGAGCTGCATGACCTCCATGTGACTTATTGTCACTCTGCAATTCCCCCCTCCCCCAACCTCCTGGTTCTACTTTCTAGACCTAAGGCCTCTATGCGGACCCTCTGGAAGTCACCCTTCCTCTCTTCCTTTGACTAGTGAATTCTCTCTTCCACATCTCCACTGTTGCCCCTTAATATAGACAGTCTACCTCTAATGCTGCTCTCCAGCACAGTCTCCACTCTACTTGGGTGGCATTACTTCCTCGGTGAAAATGGAATTATGTTACAGGGATTCAGGTGTGTATTTCAATTCACCATCAACTTCTGCTATTCACATCAATGATCTGGTGTTGGGGGAGCAGGGAGCCTATGGCCTAAAGGAAGTGTGCAAGATAATTGGGTATATGTCATATACTGCCAGTTCCTTAGGGAATGGGAAAAAAATATCATCATGCCTATTTATATTTTTATCTAAAAAATAAGAACAAAATTAAGCTGTCCTTATATGTGGGTTGACTGTATTTTATTTACTTTATAAATAAATATAAATAAAACTAGTTGCTAAAAATTTTTTACAGATTAGATGAGTGATAAATAATTGGAGAACACTAACAGTATTAAAGCCAAGAATATTTCCTAGTCTCCCTCATCTCCCATGCCTCTGCAACCTTTACCTCATCACAGGTCAGACATGCCCTCTTATCCTGTTAAGCAATTCCATTGACTTGCCACATATTTTTTTCAGGTTTTTAACATTTCCTTAAGTTTTTGTTATATGTTTGCAAAGGAACTAAAGTTTTAACACTTTAGTGAAATCTAATACGTTGACACACTCTTACCTTTTTTGCACAAAAAAAGGTTTTGCACAGAACCTTTTTATGATCCATCTGTGCTGCACGTATCTGTGGTATGAATCTTTTAAGTTCTGTGGTGGGTATGCCTCTGTATGTATGTTTCCTCATTAGAAGATATATTCTTTTCTTGTAAGGAAGAGTCTTGTATTCTAATTGGAATACTCAGAAACTAAGAAACCTGTAAGCACATGTGGGCACTAAATATTTTTCCATTAAGTAATAAATTAATGCACCAACAGGATATTTCTACTATGATTTTTTACCCACAATGTATAACATAAAACAACATGTGTCATGGAGGCCCTTTATAACATTTTCTGTTTAATTTTCAACAATAAAAATGGTAAGAATTAGTCCCCAAACATCTTTCTTCACATCACCTGATTCTGATCACTTGAAACTGAGCAGAACTGTGATTTTCCAGGGACCAGTGTCATTTAGGGATGTGAGTGTGGGTTTTACTCAAGAGGAGTGGCAGCATCTGGACCCTGCTCAGAGGACCCTGTACAGGGATGTGATGATGGAGAACTACAGCCACCTTGTCTCAGTAGGTAGGTAGGAATTGTTTCCCATATAGAAGGCCTGAATGCATGTCCTTTCTTATCAATAGAAACTTGTGGAACTTTTGTAGAATATAAAAATATTTAGGTTTGAGATTAAGAGGTCAAGGACAATTTATCCCTTTTGGATACCAGAAAGAAGGGTTTTTCCTCTGCTCCCATGACAGGATTAAATGAGCTATGTATATGTGTGTGTGTATTGTTTGGGGTATACTGTCTTCCTCCTTCAGTGAAACCCACCCAGCTTGTCCCAAGGAATATAATTCTCATTCACAGGGTATTGCATCCGTAAACCGGAAGTAATCCTCAAGTTGGAGAAAGGCGAGGAGCCATGGATATTAGAGGAAAAATTTCCAAGCCAGAGTCATCTGGGTGAGTTAGTATGTGCCAGATGGAATTTAAAGGAAGGTAGATCACAAAGGGTAAGTTCAGATAATAAGACCATTGAAATATTCTTCAGGAATCATGTTTTAGAGGCTCCAGACCTTTACAAGTAACATGTTGACAAGACTCAAATATCCAGTGGCTTTGAATCACCCAGCATCTCCCCGTATCACTTCCGTACACCATCCTGTATTTTTTTAACTGGTATAAATTATTTAGAGTTAACTCACAGCTTAATAAAATTTTATACACACACACACACACACACACACACACACCCATCACTGAGATGAATATATATGAATATATGTATCATTGAGAGTGATTTTTCATTACCCCTACGAAAACTCCCTGGTGTCCTCTTCCCGGTAAAGAATATCCTTCCTTCTAGAAAATATTAAATATTACTATAAGGACACAGGCACACAAATGTTCATTGCAGCACAGTTAATAGCAAAGACCTGGAACCAACCCAAATGCCCATTGATGATAGACTGGACAGGGAAAATGTGGCACCTATACACCATGGAATATTATGCAGCCATCAACAGCAATGAGTTTGTGTCCTTTGTTGGGACATGGATGAACCTGGAAACCATCGTTCTCAGCAAACTGACACAAGAGCAGAAGATCAAACACCACATGTTCTCACTCATAGGTGGGTGTTGAACAATGAGAACAAATGGACACGGAGGGGAGCACTACACACTGGGGTCTGTTGGGGGGAAATAAACGAGGCACAGCGGGGGGTGGGGAGTTGGGGAGAGATAGCATGAGGAGAAATGCCAGATATAGGTGAAGGGGAGGAAAGCAGCAAATCACACTGTCACGTGTGTACCTGTGCAACAATCTTGCATGTTCTTCCCATGTACCCCAAAACCTAAAATGCAATAAAAAACAAACAAAAAATAAAATATTAAATATATTTTTCAATACATGCTTTTTTGAGTTGCTCATTTGTTAGCATTTATCATATTTACCATTTTTTTACAGCATTATTTAAAAATAGTCTGGGCCAAGTGGCTCATGTCTGTAATCCCAGCACTTTGGGAGGCTGAGGTGGGAGGATCACTTGAGCTCAGAAATTTGAGACCAGCTTGGGCAACATAGGGAGACCCCATCTCTATGAAAACTTAAAAAATTGGCATGGTGGCACACACCTTTGGTCCCATGCCTGGCTAATTTTTGTGGTCTCAGCTACTGCGGAGCTGATGTTAGAGTCTTGCTTTAGCCTAGGAAGAGGCTGCAGTGAACTGTGTTTGTGCCATTGCACTGCAGCCTGGGTGACAGAGCAATACTCTGTCTCTAAAAATTAAAAAGCTCTTTGGGTAACACTGATAAACATTATTTATTAAATAGCATTGGTTTAAATATCTGTGTAGAACACTGAGAGAAAACCATAAATAAAATAATGGCTTTCAGGAACATAGTTGGTGAACGAAAACAGAAGGGCATGAAATATATTAAAATTCAGTGTTTAACAAAGAATATTGTTACAGCAATCAGCTGATGTTTGTGCCTAAATGAATTATACAAACAGCTCTTTTGTGTTTTTTAGTAGATGAAGCTGGAAGTGGTGGAGAAATTTGGGAAGGCAACTTTTTAAAAACATTGTTAGACCGTAAGCTGACAATGAGAAAACCATCAGTATGAGATTATGATGGGAATGAGTAATTTATGAGGAACAAACAGCTCATATATATTTATCTAAAGTGCAATATATTCATTCTAGACTTGATGAAGAATGGTTTGGTTCTAATCTTAATCTAAATATAAAGATATGCTTACTTCAATGATACCTTGTTAAAAAAAAAAGGGGGGGGTTGGGACATTGGACTCAGTACTATATAGTACAGTTGATGGAGTAAAGGGCAAATTCCATAGCCAGAATAGAACCATTAA